CCACCCACATTCCCTTCATATTCAATTGGTGAGATATATACTACAATCTTAACCTGTTCCAGCCTAGGGTCAACCCTTATCATCCCCACATATCCCCATAAACTGTGGCTCTTATTCTGTAACCCTCTACCTCGCGTGGCTCTTGGGCTTTGTACATTGTAAAAAGCAAAGAAAATCTTAAGTAAGTAGAAAATTAGGAAAAAAAATGAGACACGCACAAAAGAAAATTTGAATATTCATTCACTGTTTTGTGAATTTATTCACGTCTTCTATGGATAGCAGCCTAGTTTATTTTCTTTGCGTTTACCCTGGCGTCTTGGAAAAAAATGTAATCTGCATAATCAATGAAAGTTCCATCAACATTCTGATGAAACGTTATGCAAATCGGCTGAAAATTCTTGCAACCCATATTTCCAAATCATTTGATCTTTCTCAATATCTCGCGTCTCTCACGCTGACTGGACAGCCAACCCACAAATTTACTGGCACGCTGTTTAGACATGATAGATAACAATATTTAAATGGACAGGTTGACTGTGAGCATTGGGAGTGGGTAGGAAAAAAGTGGGGTGCCTCAGACAAAGGAAAAAGACATTTTCAGAAAAGGAAAGTATTTTAAACTCAATACAAGACATTTAAAACTCTGGATTTCTTTTTAAGTAAAATTCCTTATTATTAGTTCCAGAATCCATTGCAGAGTCCTTGAACAACTCTATAGACATTCACACATGCATTTTCATAAATAAATTGCTATTACAAGACATTGGTAATTTGTTCAGTTCTCATGAGGTGCTCAACAATGATAACCTTGTGTCAGGCTTAGTAACACAGAGACACACAAATGTACATGCTCAGTTATGAGTATGACAATAATAACATCCAACAGCATGGCCTCTAAACAGGAAATTGGAGATTTTGAGGAGCACAAAACCCCCCTCTTAAATGCTCATTGTTTTCAGATCCATCCTAATCTGGGGCTGGGGCGGGGGTGTTAACAGCTGTTAGCGTCCCAGCCATGGGAAAATAGTGAAATCCCAAACAAAAACAAATCATTATGAAAGTATAAAAAATACATTTTCATAGTAAAATTACCAGCAATACATTTTTACACTAAAAAAAAGTTACCAACAATACATTTTTAAAGTAACATGACCAGCAATACAATTTTAGTAGAATTACCAATTTTATCTTTAGTTGAAGTCATAAAATTGTTTTCAAAATATTTAGATTTCAACATTAGATAACCCATAGAGATTGATATACCGCCAAACAAAATCAGCCAACTAATATAATATCCTACAATTTCTTAAATCAAACTGTATTCCAAAATATAACTTCAACAAAGCTACAACATAAAACATACATATCACTGCCTATAGTAATTATGTCCACACAAACATGTATATGCACAAAAGCTGAATATCATCTACCATGTATTCAATTGTGAAAGCAGAATAACATATTATTTTTATTAGTTCAAAGCTTGCAAGAAAATAAATTTCAGCATTAAATGACCCATAAGATGTTGATGTAACATTAAACAATCAAATCAAATGTACATGCTAGGTATCTATCTAAATCCAAATCTTTCTCACTCCCGTTGGAGGAACAACCTGATTGATCATATCTTCAGGGGTGTAGCCATACTCACCATGCTTGTGTTTGGTGGTGTTACTTATTTAATCCATAGTTGGGGTGGACAGCTATTGGCTCTGAGGGGGGATAATCCACCTTTTAACAGCTCTTGTTTTTTGTGTTGCTGGGGTTCCATTTCCATTCTTAACCAGACCATGGTCTGGTGAAAGAGCCAGTTTTGTCACCAACCACTCGTGTTTTGAATTTAGAGGGTATCTATAGGATGTCCTAAAAGACATGTACACATTTTGCATGTTTATTAAGTGTTTTTAATCCAAAAACATTTTGAATTATAGCAAGATATGATTCAGGCATTGGTGAGAATCCAGACCCCACTGAAATTGCATACATCATGAATCATTTAGGTGCACATTCTCTTCAATGATGTCATTGATCATTGTCCATTTTACACAATAAACATGATTTTGTGATCTTGGAGTGATTGATTTGTTTAATGGTATGTCAACACCTTATGGGTCATTTAATGCTGAAATTTAATTTTCTAGGGAGCTTTGAAGTAATAAAATCATATATGTTATTCTGCTTTCACAATTGAATACATGGTAGATAATACTCAGCTTTTGTAGATATACATGTTTGCATTGACATAATTACTAGTGGCGGTGACATGTGTAATTTATATTGTACTTATATTTTGGAATACAGTTTGATTTAAGAAATTGTAGGATATTATATGGATTAATGTCATGACAGAGGTCTTTCATGTTGGTTGGTTGATTTTGTAGCATATCAACCTCTATTGGTTATTTAATACTGAAATTTAAATATTTTGAATTCAATTACATGACTTCAACCTAGGATAAAATGTATTGTTGATCATTTTGCTATAAAATATATTGTTGGTAATTTTTTTATATATAAAAATATATTCCTGGTATTTTTACTATAAAAATGTATTTTATACTTTCATAGATTTTTTTTTTTGTGGGGTGGTATCACTATTTGCCTCACAGGTGCTAACACTGCAGATAAGGATGGATCTGGGAAGAACAGCAATTAAGAGGTGGTTCCATACTCTGTAAAATCTTCAATCTACTGATCAGAGGCCTTGCTGCTGGATGTAGTTTATTGTCATACCCAGGAATCATCATCTTGGAGATGCTCTTACAAAAATAATGTTCACTTTCAGAAAGTCTTGTGAACTCAGTAGGTATTTTCAGCTACCTCTTCCCACAATCCACAACGTTCGGCAGATTTTCATCAAGTAAAACCCGCACATCATGATGGCCATGATCATCTTCTTTGAGGATGGAATCTCATGTTGCAATAACACTTTTCTAATAAGCAAACTTCAAAATGCAAAAGACAGTTTTGAAATACTCCCCCTCCCCCCCAAAAAAGATTTTCTCAATAACTAATGGTAATTTATTTATGCTGTCTGAATTTCTGGGATGAGGAGTTATCATTATTTACATGTGGACAATTATCCTCATCTTTGTTTTTATCACAACATTTTGACCATTGTGCCTTTGCCATTTATTAGGTGCTTGTTGAGCCACGTAATTTTCAGTGATTTCAAACTGAACCCTTTATTTAATCTAGGGGTAGATTGTTCTCCTTCCTGCTGACCATGTCTGGGGAGATCTCATCTTGTTCATATTTAGTACTACTTAGTTATTGGTTGCCCATTTCTGAGTACAAGGGACTGAACACTATTTCACCAAATTCACAAACCAACATGTCAATCACTAGGCTATTGTCCCTTGGAACAATCCTGCATGGAGAACTAAACCTAACTTGCCTGCTGACAAGTGCTGCTGTAACTCACTGAGGCTTCTTTTTTCTACTGTAGCTGCTGCTGCTTTTAAAGCCTTGTCATTCCTTTTCTTTCTTCATTAATGGCTCAGATTTGCATTTATTTCTATGCTAGGCCAACTCGGAAAGTTCTCATAGACTAGTATATTCATTGCTTCTTTCAGACATCTGGCTCTCCTGTGTTCTTTGTTTAGTATTTTACTACTTTACTTCATTCTACAGGGGTTGATGATCACATTTCCCTTTATACATGATCAGCCATGCCCGACTTCATTCTTTCACTCCTAATTACAGCTTTTCAATGCTCCTCTAGCCTTACTTTCTTCTCTTGTAGATGTGTACAGTCTTCTGAAGTAATGTTGGCAAATATCTGTAACAGTTTCTTTGCCTTCAAACTTATCTCTAATGCAAATAATGGTATATCCCATTAGTAGACCTCTTATAAACTGTCTTTGCACTTCAGCTACATTCTTGCACTTCTTGCAGCACTTTAGGTTAAATTTCCAGCAAACATGGACCTTTGTATCCTCAATAAGGTGGAGTATGAAAAGGATGTTTTTTCCCCATGCCACCACTAATATTATAACTACCTTCACTTCTTGGCAATGTTTATTGCTTAAAAAAGTGATGATTAGAATTGGAATAAAAACTAAACCTATGAAAGTGAATTTATACATTTTCTTTGTTCTTGAGAATTGAAAACAAAATTGTTATAGTGGAACACACTTATTCTATAGTTAATAGACTCTCCCACCTAAAATAAGTAGGAGTAGTAAGATTATCGAGAGAGTCACTCAGTAAGTCAATGCCGGACGACAGTTACTCGAATACTGAAGTATCAGCAACCACAACTAGATTACTCTGCGTTATACCTATTATATCAACGTAACGTAACGTAACGTTTTGTACGTCATACCTATTTTAGGACCGACTTAGTACAAATACAAGCCTCCACTGTGAAATGATTCCACAACAAAAATATTACACACTATTTATTAGATTGTTTATTTACAAGAATATTTTTATATTTACATTTAAAAAAATAATTACAATTAAAACTAATATTAATGCAACACAATATTTATCATTTACTAATTTATAAAGAAATATGAAAATAACTTTTTATCCATAATTTATAAACATTTACTAAATTATTAAAATATATGAACAAATTATAAGGAATTCCTTATTATTTACCATTTTATAAAGTTTGAATTGATTGGCAATTAACCAATGTTTTGCTAACTATTCCAATAAACAATATAATAGTGTTTATTATTTTGTTATCAATTCTCAAAAACAAAGCAAATATATATATTTTACTTTTATGGGTTTAGGTTTTATTCAATTCTAATCATCGCTTTTTAAAACAATAAACATTGCCAAAGAGTGAAGGCGGTTAACTTAGTTTCATTTCAGATGTTATTTCAAATCAGTTACACCTAAAATGGAACAAATATTTAGCAAGCTATCAGTTGTAAAAATGTGGCCACATTTTGATCAGGCACTCCATGTAATAAATCTACAACATAAATGTACATCAAGAATACATTACTTTTTTTTTCCAAAGTCAAAAGATAAATACTTACTTATATATGTCTAAAACTCTGCTGTGTACTTCTCGTAGTGGTAAACCTTTAAGATCTTTACAGGCTAACCAAAATCTGGAAAAGATACAAAGGAAGAATGATATTAAAATCTTGCTTGTTCCTTAACAGTTGCATTACACTCTGTAATAACTTGCCTGGCCCCTGCCCACAAATTCTTGATATAGCAGAAAGGGACACAGTAAATGCCTAACACTTTTGTTTTTGAATAGAGCATGCAGCAGAATCAGGCCAGAGATAGGTCAAGAATAGTGCGGGTTTGTTAAAGAACAGGAAATGTGATATTCATGCTCAGAATGTTATCAGAAAAAGCGATACAGATGCAGAAAGACATATACCTATGTTTCATAGACTACGCAAAGGCTTTGACAAAGTATGCCAGAAAGATCTGATGGAACTGCTCAGCAATCTTGATATATTCGGGAGCGATATCAGAATAATCAAGAACTAATACTGGCAGCAAACAGCATGCATACGCATAGGGAACAAGTTCAGTGAATACACAAAAACAGAAAACGGTGCAAGGCAAGGATGCATTTTCTCACCCGACCTGTTCAACCTATACAGCGAGGCAATTCTGGGAGAATTGGAAATCTTACTGGGGTTTAGCATTGGTGGCCACAACCTTAACAACATAAGATACACAGATGACACAGCACTGATAGCAGACATGGAAAAGAAATTACAAAATCTCCTACAGAAGATAGCAATGAGGAGTGAGAAGAAGAGACTAAGCATAAACTACAAGACAGAGTGCATAGTCATTAGTAAGAGGAAGCGCTCAAAATGCGATTTGCAGGTCAGGAACATTAAAATCAAGCAGACACGGAAGTTTAAATATCTGGGAAGCATCTTGACAGAGGACAGTAAGTGTGACACTGAGATCCGTAGACGTATTGGGATGACCAAGGATGCATTCCAAAAGCTGGGCAGAATACTGCGAGACAAGAGGATATCTTTGGTAATGAAGGAAAGAATACTGAGCTGTTATGTGACATCTGTCCTTCTTTATGGCAGTGAATGTTGGATGATTTCCTCAAAGATGAAGAAGAGACTCGAGGTGATGGAGATGTGATTCTGCAGAAGGATGCTAAGGATACCATGAGAGTGTGATCAATGATGAGGTCTTAAAGAGTTTGCAAACAAGGAAGAGACATACTTAACATCAGGAAGAGGCAGCTGAAGTTTCTGGGACACATAATGAGGAAGGAGGGCCTGGAGAATCTGATGCTCATGGGTTGAATAGAGGGTAAGAGAGACAAGGGAAAGCAGCGTGTGACATACATGACGAGCTTGAGCAGGTGGATGACAGAACGTGGTCTGGGGGAGGAATCAGAGGGAAAGACTCCATGATGAAATCTTGTGGTGAGTACCATTCTATTTTGGTTGCAAGGAAAGATGGAAAAAAAAGGTTATATCAGAGGTATTGTTTGGTTTTAGTGAGAAATAAATAAAAGGAAGATAGAGGTGGTAATAATGGATTTCATGCATTTAATGTCTGCCTCAGTGAAATGGAAAATCATGACAATTTTGAATCTTTTCATTTGTATTCACTTGCTTCTTTAAATAATGTCCACCATTCACAGGTATTTTAGCGCTGTCAAACACACAAGGAACTTAGGCAATTATTGGCTTCAGGAAACATAAGAAAAGAGAAAGAAAGTGATGGAGGAGGTAATAATGCTCTCATGAGTTTAATGTCTGCTTCACTGAAATGGAAATACTTTGTCAGTTTTATATCCTTTCATTTGTACCCTCTTACTTCTTTAAATGACCTGTATTCATATTTATTGCATTTTTTAATTACAGTTGTTAAGTTCAAATATTTAATGATAGAATAGGGGAATTTGTACAGGTATTTTAGAGTTGTCAAGCTCTCGGGGAGCCTTGTTCAATCGTTAACTTAGCAATTAAGATTAATTAGAAAAATAAAATAGAAAAACTGAAATTTTCAGATACTTCTAGTGAAATTTTATTCTACTGTAGATTTTATAAGCATAAGGTGTGTCAGCAATGGTCCATTTGTATTTGGTTGAATTATAAACCACTCAGACTTCAAAAATTTACTGAAGAATTTTTCCTGGAATTTTTTATGGTTCCAATTTGAAAAAGTTTCAACTCTGATTTGAAATTCAGGAAGACAAATCCAAATTGAAATTCTGGCACTAATTAAATTAACATGTCTTCTTTTAAAACACAGGAAATAATTTTTTTTTTCAATAATGTTTGGAAATTAGCAATCATTAGACTTTCCTCTCCCCACCACATTTGTCTGAATAAAAAATATTGATTTTTTTTTTATTATTTTATAGTGGGAATCTTGTACATTATATAAATACAGTGTCAAATCAATCACTGACTTCCTAAAGAGTTAGGCGGCTTACAGTCATATCACGTTGAAACACCAGTTCACCATACAATCACCTAAGTGAAGCAATGTTGAGCCTGGTCAGTGCCTAGATGGGTGACTGCTTGGATGTGGAGGTGATGTAATGGATAACAGCTCAGAATTGGAAATCAGGGAGCCGAGTTCCAATTCCAGTTGGGTTTGTTATATTCATCTTATGTACAAATACCCTTGGGAAATGTATGAATCCACCTTTTCTCCCCCAAGCTATGGGTTAATTAGTAGAACTTGTATTAGTAAAATTTATTATCTCCCAAAAATCCTCACAATCTAAAAATATTTTCTGACTTTAAATAACTTGTAAAAGGTTGATAAACTGTAAAGAATCAATCAACCTTAGCAGTACTTATTTTTTATTTACAAATGTCAAGTTTTGAAACTATGCTCATGTGATTGATATGCTGTTTATCACTGGTACCAAAATTATAATGTGTATAATACAACTTGTGTATAATATGACCCCCATGTTGCTGAAGCTCAAAACTGGGAATAAATTACATCCTTGAGTATAATATGACCCCACAGTACAGCCACCCCTATGCAATTTCTTTTTGCAATGTTGTACCATGTTATCTATTAAAATTTCAATGTTGTACATATATTTCACCAAAATATTTAATTTTTCCTGATATCAAAGAATAGAAATGAACTAGATGTTTAGCCATTGTGTGACAGTGGAGTAATGGATAGCAGCTTGGATTGCAGAATCAGAGAGCCAAGTTTGAATTCCAGTCGAATCCATTACATTCACTTACATGCTAATACCCTTGGGAGTGGTATGGATCTTCTTCTCCCCTCAGCTATGGGTAAATAACAGGTTAGACCGGGTTCTATAGCATTGGATGGCAACCGGTCTACTGCAGAAAGAAATGGCAACCTACTGCAGGAAAAAATCTGCCTAGTCAGTTATGTATCGAAAGATACATGATCACCTAAGCATATATCACACATGGCACATAACTGTGTTTCTCCTAATTTCCATTTCAAAACTTATTTTTGAATTTTGAAGGAAAGGTGCTAACTAGACATCTTAAGGTGTTAATTAATCTATCATACTTTTCTGTTTCATATGAATTTATTATATTTCTATATATTAGTAAACTACGAAAATAAATAAAAAAATTAGTCTTTCATTAAGAATGAAAGGAGAAAATCTTTTAATTTTCTTGTTTTTTTATAAAAGTTTTTATTTTGTGAGCAAAAACTGAGACAAAAGACGTTCAATTACATTTGATTCCCAAAGAACAAATATGGCTGACATATTAAATAGCTTTTTGCAAACAATTGTTATCAACACCTGCCTACTTTGTGTTTTGTAATCTATTGTGCTATCTGAGTGTATTTGCAAACTTGCTGTTTCAAATAAGAGCTTTTTTAAGCTGAGTAAAAACTTCTGAAAACATATCCTTGTGTATAATATGACACACCCTCCTACATTTTGTCATTAATTTATGTTCAAAATTTCTCTGATTATGTACAATAAAATACAGTATTCAAATCATGAGCTTTTCCAGGTTTGAATAAAGCTTGTTCACACTAGATGTGTCATGGCTGGCAACTAGAAATTAACTGCCATTAAAAAGAAACCTATAAAAGATTATAAATCAAAAAACATGATTTAAGAATAATATATTCAATAATCAAATGTTTCCTTCTTTTTTTTACTGAAAATAAAAAAAATTTAAATATAATTTCTTAGGCCTGAACAAAAAATGAAAATACAATTATTTCTTAACAATTTGATTGCTTCAATTTACATAGATATAAGCAAATAAAACATTAAAAATATCTATCTTATTGACAAAAATATTTAGTATATTGTAATTACTATCCAGAATAAACTGATTTTTGTTCTGGATTTTTTATTTATTTATTTGTATACATATATATATAGGAGGCACGGTGGAGTGATGGTTAGTGGCTAGGATTGAGGAATCGGAGAGCCAAGTTCAAATTCCAGTCAAATCCATTACATTCACTTATGTGCTAATACCCTTGGGAAAGGTATGAATTCTCTTCTTCTCCCTACAGCTATGGGTAAATAGTAGGACAGACTGGGTTCTATAGCCTTGGATGGCAACTTGTCTAGGGGAAGGACAACTCTGAATTCAAAACCCATGGAGGGGTTGTTTGGGGATATTGTGGCACGTAGTGCACCAGGTTTGTATTTGTCTCTTCAAAAAGTGTGGATGATTCTGCACAAAATCTTCACCACTATAATCAAATCTCATGTGCTGGTGTCTGGCTGTTGGTCCCTAGGAACTGAGCTGCTTGATCCTCATATGTCAAATACGACGGAAGAGTTGAATATATATATATATATATATATATATATATATATATATATACATATCATTTAATCATCTCACCCCAAGTAAGGCAATAATAAGGCTATTATTGAATACCATTACCATATATGGTCTGGTGCTCCTGCTGTACATACTGAGATACTTGACAAGAATCTGTAATATAATTAATCCTGACCTGGCATCTCGACTTTAGTCACATTCTCAGTGATGTGATGTGGCTTCCCTCTGTCTTTTCTCCAAATATTTTCATGACAACTCTTCTGATGAGCTTTTTACCCTGATGCCCTGTCTGCATGAATTTAAGCGTGCTACTTGATTGGCAACTAGGTCTCACCATTTTACTGTCTTTTACTAGCTAGATGCAACAGTTACTTTTCTTGTACTTTCCACCTGTGGAATTCCCTTCCAATTTCTTGCTTCCCTGGTAACTATAATCTTCAAAAATTAAAGTGCAACATCAATCAACATCTTCTGTTTTCTTGAACTTTGTTCCTTTTGGTTCTTTCTTCAATCATCTCCATTCTCTTTCACTTTCACTCTCTGTAATAACACCTTGCATCTTAGTGGCTTTATTGTCTTGCGTGGGGTGAAAGAATTAAAAAGAAAAGGTGCAAGGGTTTACTGAAGGTTAGAGAATATGATATTAAAAAATACTATTAAACAGAGGACAATAAAAGAACAGATATTAAGATCAAAGATAAACATTAACATTGCATTTAAATTTTTGAAGATCAAACTTTACTGGAAAGCAAGAATCCAAAAGAGAGTTCCACAAGCAAGAAGTGCAAGAGAAGAAACTGTTAACATAGAACTTACAGTTACATCTAGCCATTTCTACTATAAAATAATAAGACCTTGCCTCCAGTCTAGTACTGTACTTAAATTCATAAAGTCTAGGTACGATGGAGGAAAGTTCATCAAAAAAAATTATCATGAATGTATCTATAGAAAAGGCATCAGTAAACTACATTACAATGGTTGTGAAAGTGACTGAAGTCGAGATGCTAGATCAGGACCAATAACATTGCAGATACTTCTTTGGATTTTATCAAGAATCTCTAAAATATATAGTAGGAGTGTTGAACCAGATGCGGCAACAATATTTAAAGCAAGGATGAATGGTAGGCTTATCAATATGTAAGATAGATTCTGGTGAGAAAAATTGTCTAGCACGACACAGTCAACTTACCTAGCAGTGTGTGTATATATATATATATATATATATATATATATATATATATATATATATATATTTGTAGCTGGGTGTGAGCTACTCCCTTTGAATTGTCCCTCCTCCAGCTATAATAGACATGTTTTATATAAATATAGGTATCTCCAAAGTTTTGCTACAAAGGAGGATAAATGATGCCCAAAACAAAATTCTATCATCAAAATCTTTGTGTTATTAGTAAAAGGAAAGATCAAAGGATTTTTTTATGTAAAAATTATTTCTTTTTATCCTTTTTAGAACCTTGGAAATTTTTATTAAAAATTTTATTTTTATGGTCTCATGAATTTGCACAGGAAATTTGAGCATCTTCTTCCAGTGAAAAACACATTGATTTGGATATTCTTGCAAAATCAAATAATTTCAGGAATTATTCTCAAAGGTATAAAATTATTTTGAAAGTCCTTGCAGAATTTAAATCATCAAATATTTTTGGTCAAACAGGACCCCAATTACTTCCGATCTCACAATAGATTATTAAATTGTTTAAAATATGTATATATTTTTTTTTGTTATTTTCATCATAATCTTTAATCTTATCATCTACTTTTCTCAGTACTCATTCACTTAGCAGGTGTCTCAAAATCTCATATCTGCATCCAATGCCCTCTAGAGCAAAAAAAAGCAAGAATCATTATTTTATCTTTTAGGTGACTAGGAATTGTATTTATTTTGTTTGGAATATTCAGAAGTAACTACTTCAATTGTTTAATTAATCTATATTAAATTCATTCTCATTGTAAATGCTTTTGCTTTCATCAGCTTGTAAAATCTGTGTCTCCATAACATAAACCCATGGCAACAATGTAGTACAAAACATTGGTTGTTTTTGCTTAGCGGCATATCAATCTGTATTTGTTATTTAATGCCAAAATGTAAATATGAAAATTCAAACTTTCAGTATCAGTCCATATTTCTGAGATGATGTATTATGTATATTATTTACATTATTCAGACTATTGTCCTCATCTTTGTTGCCATATTTATTACAATGCAGTGGATAAAGGCGTTAGTTAGATCCAGTGACAGAACCCAAAGAGTGTGAGTTCAATACCTGGTTAAGGCAGTGGAGAACTTTCAGAGGGAAATTAACTGGAGATAACTGATAACTGACATTCATTAAACATGGCACATAGAACTAGAACAGTCTAACCCAGTGAGCAAAATAAAGGGTTCAGTTCGGCATTCCAACCATCTGAAGAAGGCCGGAGCATACAACAGCTGAAATGATGTAATAAATATGGCAACAAAGATGAGGACAATAGTCCAAATAATGTAAATAGTTCAAACTTTCATAATTAATTCAAGAGAATGACATTATTTCATGATTAAATTATAATGACTTAGCTGCATTTTTTAAAAAAAATAAGCTTACAAGATCAAACAAGAAGTAAAAACTTTTCTCCTTACTAGAAAGGAGATTAATCATAGCAAAATTGATTTTGGTTTTCGAGATTTTGACAATGTATGCCAGGTCTTCAATTTTACTATAAAATATATTAATAGTCATTTTATTATAGAAATGTATATTTACCTTCCTAGTGTTTTGCATTTGGTTTGGGAGTTCACTATTTGCTTATAACTAACAGGTGCTACCACCCTGCGGTCAGGGTGCACCTGGAAACAATAGCAGTTTATTTCTCCTCAAAATCTCTAATCTCTAATCTCTCAATCAAAAGCCTTGCTGCTGGATGTAGTTTATTATCATACCTAGGACAAGGTATCAAAGGGTTAAAATATCACATTGCTACTCTTGGTATGACCAAGTACCTCTGAAAAGTATTAATTCTTTTTAAAAACAGGAAAGCAATAAACAAAAAAAGATGGTAGAATACTTACTTAAGATTCTCTCCACTAAATTCTTTATCAAGAAATTTGCTGAACTGTTCCACACCAGCTTGGTCTGTGAGAACCTCTTCAATAGTAAAACCCCATCGTTTTACACGACGTGGTGGTATATCCTTTGGATTCCTGATAACAAAAATATAAATATAGATTTCAACTAGAGATTTCATGCCTTCCAAAAACTAAGCAAAGTATAAAGACAAAGGAAAATCTTTTAGAAACAAAGACAAATTTGGGAAAATTTTAAAATCAACATGTTTTACAACTCACAAAAATGCTTACAGCCACTTTTATTTTTTTAATCATGTCAACCCAAGCAATGCAATAAAGCTACTAAGACTCAAGGGTTTACTGAGTGTTAGAAGAAAAAAAAAACATTAAGAAGAGAGAGAACAAAGCTTTACCTATCATCCAGTTCATACTCCTCCCCACACTTTTGGACAGTCGTAGAGGTTTATCTCTTGTTTCCTGTTTAGGATTGAGTTTGATTCCTTCAAATGTCTACTTCAACTCTATATTTCTAACATCTCTAGAAATGTGAATTTGTATTTACTATTTATTTACATTTTTTCCTCAATAGGAGTAGATTGGTTTGCCTATCATCTAGGTCACACTCCTCTCCAGTCTTTTGAACAGGAGTAGAGGTTTATCCCTTGTTTCCTGTTCAGGAATGGGTTACTGGAAACCCATTCCTACCAAAACCTTTTCCTTCTCTTTCACTTTCGGTGGCTCTTTGTCTTGGTGGTATTATCCCTTTGCTCGGGGTGATGCCTCTTAATATGTAACCCTCTACCTCGAGTGGCTCTTGGGCCAACATCATTGCAGAAAGAAAAAAAAACTAAGACTACCAAAAATAATGATTGATCTTCAAAAATTTAAATGCAATGTCAAAGTTGACTGTGCTTTCCCTAAAATAGGGAAACTAGAACCTTGCTTATGAGGACCTTCTTCATATGCTGAGCAGTAATGCACACCAAACCAAACAGTGCTTTTTCCTACAAAGGAGGATGTTGGTTCAATCCCTGTTGGAAAATACAATTTCCATTTTCTTTACAAATGTTTCTCGAATAAACAGGTTGATGAACGCAATATACACTGTTTAATAAATAAAAATTGGTTGTCTTTTTCAAATACAGTGTCCACTATAATAAAATTTGAATATATATATATATATATATATATCGAGTGCACAGGCTGGTAGACAAAATAAACATTGTTTAAGGAAAAATGGAGCATCCACTCAAATACACTAAAATAATGATTGAAGTAATACATACATGCACACACACACATTTTTTATATATAAAAAATAGCTGGTCACTTGTATCTGAGGATACCCGTCTATTAGGGTGGCTAGCCATTCTATATTGCAGACGCCCGCCCAGGTGCATTTTGTTTTGGTTCAACACCCACAGAGCCCACCTGTGGTTTATACTGCAACTATGCTGAACAGACCTTAGTTACAGTTTCTGGGAAAGAGCATGTTATCTAGTGTGATCAACAATTTGAACAAGGCCAGCATGCTCAAGCCCTCGGCAATGATGACTTGTGGCTTTGTGCTAACACAGCTATTGACAACCCTCAAGAGTTCTGTCTACCCAATTTCACTCACAAGACTTGGGTCCACCCGTGGTATGGTTTCAGGCACTTTCCAAAGGTGCTGCATGCTGGGATTGATCCCTTCCAAACCAATAACATCAGGAAGTCTCCTTCCAGACAAATCAACTGAGGGAGATTGAACCTGAGTCTCATGGTCAGAAAGTGAATGTTCTAACCCCGGCCACATGCCCATCATTATATATATATATATATATATATATATATATATATATATATATATATATATATATATATAAAAAAAAAAAAAACCTAGTGAGTCAGAACCTACCTACCAAGGTTTCACCTAACGGATTCTCAGGGTACTACTGGCTAAAGAGGGTAGGTACAAGTGACATTTTATTGGTAAAATAATAAATTTAGTAAAATAAATTATATTTTATTAGGTTTTTAGATTTTTCTCTACTTTGTGTATCGAGCACTTTTACATTGTTTTTTCTTTTGACTAGGCATTGTGGTGTTCATTGATTATTTTTGACCAACACAGATGTCTTTAGTCTTCTTTTATTACTGAATTCTTTTTCCTTGATATCAATTTGTTCAAATATATTTTTTATTTACATATTGTATTATCAGTTTTTTTCACACTGGCCAAGTATAGGTATTAAAATAATATATATATATATATATATATATATATATATATATAACCTTGTATCAATGAAAAGTGCATGTATAAATTAAAAAACAAGAAACAAAAATACTTCACAACTAACTCAATTAAGGACAGCTTGAGTTGTTACTCAAGTTTCACCCTCTCGCAATCTTCAGGAGAGTAATATACATATTCTGGTTACAAAATTTGGCAAACTTGGACCTTTATAACCACAAGAAGAATGGAGTGTCAAAAGGACATTTTTTGATACCGCTCTTATTTTAACTACCTTCACTCCTCTGTAAGGTTAGGATTTGTAATAAAACCTAAACATATGATGAAAGTGAATTTAAACATTTTTTTTGGCTCTTGAGAATTTACAACAAAAATATTTAAACACTCTCAGATTGTTTATTTACAAGAATAATTTTATATTTACAACATATTTAAAAACTAAAACAATTAGAAGTAATGCACTGAAACATCATTTACCAATTTATAAAAAAATAAATATAAAAACACTATTTTTTATTCATAAATTTATAAACATTTACTAAATTATTAAAACTGTGGACCAACTATAAGGAATTCCTTATTATTTGCCATTTTATAAAGTTTGAATCGATTGGCAATGAGCCGATCTTTTGCCAACCATTCCAATAAACAATGTTTATTATTTTTTCAAGAACAAAGAAAATGTATAAATTCATTTTCATATGTTTAGGTCTTACTAAAATTCTAATCATCACTTTTTTAAAACAATAAACATTGCCAAGGAGTGAAGGTAGTTAAAATAATAGTGGTGTCAAGGGAAAAACCATCCCTTTTGACACTCTGTTTTTTTTTTTTTTACACATGAAGGTCCAAGTTTTCCCAAAATTTTATTACAGCAAAAAAGACAAACATGTTAAAGCAAGAAGAAATAAATAACAAAAATATGGGTAAGAAAAAAACACAAAAATCATTACCATAATGTTTGGTTTGGTTTGTTTTGTTTTACAGCATATCAACCTCAATGGGTTATTTAATGCCGACAAAATTTTTATTGCTCGCAATATTTTTTCCTTCATAAATCTATTTTGGGTAATATTTTTTTTCTTCAAAAACATATGCTGGCAATAATTTTTAAAAAAAGTATTTCTGGTATTAAAATGTATTTTTACACTTTCATAATGTTTTGACCCCAGTTTGGGGGTTAACTATTTGTCCATAGGTGGGATCCTAACAGGTACTACCACCCCAGGTCAGAGTGGATCTGGGAACACCAGCAATTAAGAGGTAGTTCCATGCTTCTCAAAACCTCCTGATCAGAGGCTTTGCTGTTGGACATAGTTTATCGTCATACCCAGGACAGATTACCATAATGTGGTAATAATGAAATCCAATGTGATAAACAAAAAAAACAGTTGAACTGGTTTATTAGTCCTCTCTCAAGGACAAGAAATGTGCACACAGCTAAAACGAACACCAAACACTAAATTTTATTTACTGTATAGACTGATATAAGCCAGTTTCATGATTTGGGGGGGGGGGCATGAATTTTAACCTCTCCAGAAAAAATTTACCTGTGTATAGAGTGACCTCCTATTTTTACATAAAATAACTGATCATAAGAACTCACACTATGCTTGATTATATACGGTAATAAATGAATTTTTTTTTTTAATCATTTCACCTGTTGCTTTCCATATAGTCCCTGGATTGCAATGCTGCTGCATAGATGGAATTAAGAAAAAGAAAATTTCTTTTTCTTACTCATTTTTATCAGAGAAGAGGGACAGACATGGCAGCTTGGATTCTAAGAGGCAGCAGGAGGAATGACTTCACAGGAATGTATGTCACTTGTTGACTTAGTGTCCATCTGCGTAAGGTCTTAGCCCGTCTCTCGTGCCTGGGTGTGGGAAAGCGTATCGATGTTTCAAAATTATTTTGGCCCTCTTTTATCCAAAACCCAGAGGCAATCTATAACTGTCAGAATGCCACTCCCATGAGGTATTCTGACCAATTGCTGACCATAGACTTTGCATTCCATAACACACCCCAAGGAAGGTGATAATGCCACTAAGACACAAGGGTGGCTACTGCAAGTGAAAGAGAATGAAAAGACTTTAGAAGGAATCGGAAAACCCAATCCTAAAAGGATAAATCTCTACTACTGTTCAAAATTCAAAGGTAACATATCTGAGCCTCTCCTCCTGCTTACAGAGAGATGGACAGTAGTTGTGTAGTGAATTCAAGAATACATACACAGTCTTTTCCTGATCCCAGTATTCTATATTATCTGAAACCCAAGGGTTTGATGGTTCTGGTGTGGTGATAAAGGCATCAAATTCTGCATATTGTTCGTAATAGGCAACAAAACTGAAAAGAGAAAACAAAGCAAAAGTTATTTGAATAAAAAAACAGGCATGAAGAAAAAGATTTACTCAAAGACAGGGTTTAACATATTTTTGTCACCTGAATTCTAAATCCAGAAAGTTTCTATGAACCTTGACCCTTCAGGACTTTTGGGCAATCATACAGCTTTCCTTTTGTTACATTCAATAATAACTTCCTTCTTTATCAACCCTCCTTTTCTTATGCTTATCCACCCCCCACCCCACCATAGGTTACATGCTGCTTTCCCCACCATTGAAAGGCCTTGCAAGTATTAAATTCTCCAAGCCTTCCCCTCTCATTATGCGTCACAGAAATTACAACTGACTTTTATGATAGTAAGCAAAAAATTTTTCTCAGTTTCTATTCATGTTAAGATGAAGAGACTTGAAGTGACAGAAATGTGATTCTACAAAAGGATGCTGTGAATACCATGAACTGACCATGTGAGTAAGAAGGAAGTTTTAATAAAATGGAAACAAAATGTTTATTTATATCAGTTGAAATATTTCTAGGACACATAAGGAAAGAAGGTTTGGAGAATATGACACTCGCAGGACATGTTGACGGCAAGAGTGACAGAAGGAAACATAGAGTAACCCAATTAAGTTTGTGTAAATCGATAGCAGAAAATGGATTAAGAGGGAGAGAAAAAAAAACAAATTTTATTAAGAACTACAAGAGATAGGAAGTTGTGAAGAGCCATGATCGCCAAAGTCCTGAAATGCCACAGCACAAAGAAGATTCTCTTTAAGATATTCTCCTTTGTCACATTCTCTTTCTTTGATATTTCTCAACATGAAAGCCACACTTCTTCGGCTTCGAGTCTTCATCTGAGAAAACTTTTGCATCTTTCTCTGCCGCAGAGATGACCGGAAAAATTACATTGCAGTTCACCATTCTTATTTTTGCACATAACAATTTTTTCCTTCTTAGCATGTTGCACAGTAAAAGGAAAAAAAATTCTGTATTCCTATGTTTTTGATTTTTTTATCATTTCATCCCAAGCAAGGCAATAAAGCCACAAAGAATTACTAAATATTAGAGAATGGGAGAAGAAAAAAAACACTGTTAAAGAAAGAAAACCATGAAAGAAGAGGAATCAAGACAACAATAGATAACGACTGACATTGCACTTAAATATTTGAATATCAAAATTGTCTGGAAAGGAAGGAGCTGCAAGAGATTTCCACAAGCAAGAAGTGCAAGAAAAGAAACTGTTAGCATAGATTTATATTTTCATCTCTTGCCATTTCAATTGTAAAATGCTGAGATGTTGCTACCCATCTAGTACTGCACTTACATTCATAAAGTCTACGTACCATGACATAAAGTTAATCAGAATAATTACCTTGAAAGTATTTATAGAAAAGGCACAGAGAATATACATTACAATGGTGGAAAAGTGACTGAAGCTGAGATGCCAGGTAAGGATAAATAACATTGCAGATTCTTCTTTGGATTTTATCAAGAATCTCTAAATACATAGCAGAAGTACCAGACCAGATGTGGCAGCAATATTCAATGCATGGATGAATGGTAGACTTATAAATATGCAAGATAGATTCTTCTTTGGATTTTATCAAGCCGTCTCTTCTACTCTAATAGCTTCATGTCTCGCACCTCTTGCCTGTGGAACTCCCTTCCCTATTCCTGTTTCCCTGTGAACTATAATCTCCAGCTATTCAAGTGTAATGTCAATCGACATCTCCAGTTGCCTTGATCTATCCACTACCCTCATCCTTTCTTCTATCACTCCTATCTGATCTTGCTCTAAACTTTCTGTAACCCCTTGCGTCCTAGTGGCTTCCCGCCTTGCTTGGGGTGAAATGCTTAAAAAAAAAAAAAAAATCTCTAAATACATAGCAGAAGCACCAGACCAGATGAGGCAGCAATATTCAATGCATGGATGAATGGTAGACTTATAAATATGCAAGATAGATTCTTCTTTGGATTTTATCAAGAATCTCTAAATACATAGCAGAAGTACCAGACCAGATGTGGCAGCAATATTCAATGCATGGATGAATGGTAGACTTATAAATATGGAAGATAGATACTTCTTTGGATTTTATCAAGAATCTCTAAATATATAGCAGAAGCACCAGACCAGATGTGGCAGCAATATTCAATGCATGGATGAATAGTAGACTTATAAATATGCAAGATAGATTCTGGCTTGACCTAGGGAAGCCACTTTCCTAATAGCATACCTAGCAATTGAGTCAATATAATCTTTCCACTTTATCGCAATAGAAAACATTAGCTCAAGAAGGCTCAAGGAGTCACTCTTCTGAAGATATGTATCAGCCATGTTGATGGAAGGTAAAAAGGGTTCTCTCAGATGATTAAAAGAGGGAATCTCGTTTTGGGGATGTTAAAATGAACAATCCATTTTTTGCCCATGTTAATAACAGAATGTAGATCGTTTTAGGATTTTTTAAATTGTAATCATTTTTTGACTGAATTTCTCTAAGTTAGGATTATTCCACAGGATAATAATTGATTAAAGCATTGGTTGACATAGTAATTGCAAGTTCAATCTCTGGAATAGTTAGTGTAGACTTAGAATCAGGGGAAAAAGAGCAAGCAATAACTAAATAAAAACAAAACTAAATATCCTTAGGCAATAGAATCAGAACAGTCTAGCTCCATAAATTAAATAAAGGGTTTAGTTTGAAATTCCTTGAAGGTTTCCCAGATCAACAGACACCTAAAGAATGCTGAAGAGCACAATGGCTAAAATGATTTGATAACAACAAAGATAAGGATATCTGTCTATATTTCTGAGATGAGGTATTGTAATTATTCACAGTATTTTTTAATCTACCCTGGTAGACAAAATAAAGGATTCAGTTTCAAATTCCAATCACCTGAAGAAGGCTTTAGCGTACAATCGCCGAATCATTGTGAATAAGGCAACAAAGATGAGGACAACAGTCTGAACAATGTAAATCATGTGAAAGATAAAGATATTATTTTTAAGGTAATAAATATAATCATTCTTATTTTTATATAAACAAATAATTTCTATCTGGGTTTTTGGGATGAGGAGTTATTATTTACACTATTTATAGTTGGACTAGTATCCTCATCTTTATTGTTGTTATCACAATATCCTATGAGACAGTGGCCTAGTGAATTAAAGCATTGGTTTATGAATTTGGTGACATAGTGGTTGTGAGTTCAATCCCTGAGTTGGGTAGTGTGTACTTGCACTGAGTGGAAACAGGCAAGCAATAACTGAACAGTACTATAAATAAAAACTAGACGATATCCTTAGATATAGACACTGGGATGAGAACAGTCTACACCTGTAGATTAAATAAAGGGTTCAGTTCAGAATTCCCTGTTGGTTACTGTCATATAGAACATAAATGAATAGAATCGTCCATTTATGTAAATAAGTGGAGTTGAGGAGAGTAAGCATTAGGGCCACAATTGCTAAGTGTACCTTCGTGTAGTAAACCTTCTATTTCATTACCTACCTACGAGTTTGTCTTCCTTATTTATTTACCTCTGTTATCTTGAAAACATGAGATACAACAGTTACTCAGATCAATATATACCTATATATAACAATGGCCAAAACATTGTGATAACGACAACAAAGATGAAGACAATAGTCTCAATATAAAGTGTAAATAAATAATTATTTATTAAATAAGGCATGTTATATATTATTACTTCTGTCCAATAATAGTTATGACATTTACATACACATGTCATACTATGAATGTATCAACTATTATGGGACAGAGAGCACATTATATTATTACTAGTTTTAACAAGTGAAATTTTCATGGTTTTCCTATTTGAAAATTCTGACAAATTTTAATTCTTCTGTTAATGATTGAATAAGTTTTAGATGAATTCTATGACAAAGATAAAATATCCATAGAAATTTCCCTATTGCATTGTTAAATTTTTGAGCTTAACAACTTTAACAAAATATTGCAATCAGAATCATAAATGAGAACGTTGCTTGTTATTTTAAGAAGTAAGGGGGTACAAATGAAGAGATTTGAAATTGACAACTTTTTCCATTTCACTGAAACAAACATTAAATACTTCTATCTTCTCTTCTTTCTTTTCATTTTCTAACTGAAACCAAGCAACGTCTTTGATGTATTTTGTCTTCTCATGCAATCAACAGCAGAATAGTCCATTATTTATGGGGTTTCTTTCTTTCTTTCACTGTAACCAAGTAGTATTTCTGATATGTCTTTTGACATTTTGTTCATTATTTATAAGATATTAGCAGGATATAATGATCGTACAAACAAAGGGAGGGACAAAAGCTCAAATTATTATATGATTATACAAACTCTGTCCTATAAAAGTTGTTACATTTACATACATGTTTGTAAAATAACACTAACAGTATTATTTTTTTAATCATTTCATCTCAAGCAAGGACATAATGTCACTAAGATGCAAGGAGTTACAGGAGTCAAAGGACAATAAAAGGACAGGAGATTAAAATTGACATTGCATTTAAATTTTCAAAGATCATAGGTGTCAGGGAAGCAAGAAACCAGAAGGGAATTCCACGGGTGAAAAGTGCAAGAAAAACAACTATTATAATAGAACTGCTGGTTACATCTAACGAGTTCAACAATGAGCCCTAGTAGTCAATCTAGTAGACATGCAGTCAAGGTATCAAGAAGACATCATTAGAACAACTGCCAAGAAAATATTCATAGAAAAGACAGAGGGAAGCCACAAACAGTGAGACCTAATTGCCAATCTAGCTGTATGCTTAAATTCATGTGTTTGAGGTAGCAGGGATGAAAGCTCATTAGAACAATTACAATGAAAATATTTATAGAAAAGGCACAGAAAAGACATGTCATCTCAGTGGGAAAGTGACTGAATATGAGATGCCAGGTCAGGACCAATTACAGACCCTTATAAAAAAAATAATAAGATAAGATATCCCTAGACAAGAAGAGTGAAATGGAAACAATCTACTCCCACACCCA